AAATTCGTGACGAATAATTGCAACGGTATACATAAAACGGTTACTCACCTCTATCGTTGACCCATCTACTCCCATTTCATGGAGTTGATCGCAAATCACTTCAGCAAGGGTCTCATCGTTAAAGTCGTAACTACTTGACGCATAAGTCGTAGAGGAGTTTCTATCAGCAGAACCGCTGCTCCCTTCTAAAGGATGAGAAGTGCTAACGTTTGATGGAAAATCAGTCAAGATGTGCTTGAGTATAGAAAAAAGCATACCAAATCGTACAGACAGCGATGACACATTTTGTTGTGGTTTGGACCGTGCAATACTCCGATCAGAAAATTCACTCTAAAAGACCAGGAACAATCAACCAAATCAGCTTGCTATGCAAAAATTAGAACAGTAAGATGTTATTATGACGAAGAGAATGTGCATGACTTACATTTTGTTCAGAAATCACTGACGCTTCAGTAGTTGCAATCTCAGTCGACACGGAAGAAGTTGATGTGCCAGGTGACTGAGTAGAAGCGGAGCCGGAAAACGACTCGTTCGCGACAGATGTAGCTGATGTCTCACTTCGAGAAGGAGGTAGTTTACGCGACCCTTCCTCAGAGAAGACTGTTGGATACAAAGGCCTGAACAAAGTGGATGAGATAATAAAGTTGAGATTCATGAACAAGATACCAAAAATTATTAATTTTTAACTGCTGGTAAGTCATTCCTGCACTGGGTTCATCAAAAGCAATATTTCCAAACGAAACATTTCACCAAAAATGGAATCAGAATGTCGATTTTCCACTCTCCGCTACAAATCAGTGAAACAACTTTCGATACTATCCACTGCTCGGCATGCAATCAATATGAGGCAAAAGCGAATCAAACCAAAACTGGTTTTCTTCTAGCAGAATATGGAAAAAAATATTAGCATACAAAAATGACCTGAACTCTCGAGGAAGTAAATGGATAGCCGGTCTGGGAAAGAAATCCATTTCACGCTGTTCTGCCGTACGTTTCAACCAAAACACTTTATTAGGTAGGCCCAATGGGAAATAGCACGTCTAAAAGAAAATAATTCGATGATGCAATTCAAAAACACCGAAGAACATGTCTTACCTTGGTTTTCATATTCCTGCATGCCCAGAAGAAGCGCTGATCACCAGTGTTTTCATCGGTATCCAAGGGTATTGCTTTCAGCGGAGCGTGGCAATAGCGACACGTGAGAAGCTCTAGTTCAATCTTCAAAACAAATAAATGTACTTTTACTAGAGGTAACATTGGCTATTAAGTCACCAAAAATAAATCCGACGTCGTTTAGTGAAAAAAAACAAGTGATATTATGTACCAATTCACGAATACAACGAAGCATACTTCAAGATATTTCCACAAGAAGTAAATCGCTAATTCCAAACCCTGGTTTCAAAAAAAAGGTCAAAATGCAAGAGCATAAACTTTAATGAAATTCCAAATTTCAACAAACTTTCCGAATGGTTCAAAGTTTTAAAAA